CTTCCCCTGCTTTGCTTGTGGCAAGCGAAGGTGTCAGGTCTGTGGCGGTAATCTGAGGCAGAGTCTAGATGATGCATCGTGGTGGAAGCATAACAGTCCAAATGGACTTTTTTTAAAAAAAGAAAGCTCTTTAAAACATTCCCCAAATAACGTACATCTCAGAGGTACAACAGGTGAAACCCCTGATAATGGTGAGCAATATCACGGTTGCAGCTTAGTTTTATAGCTCCTCTTCCCATTCCCACATATTACCCATAAAATATGACCCACACCACACGCTACTACGAATTCCCTATATAGATCAGGAGATCATTTTAAAGGCATAACCACTCTCTCACAGGTGCTGGCACCGCTGAAGTGAGTATCTACTGGGAAAAGCAGTGCTGCAAGCTGGTGGGGGAGGTCTTCTCTGTGTCTCAGCTGATGGCATCTGCTCCCTTCACAAGCAACAAGTGCTGTTACAGCCGAAGGGCCCTCCTGCATGTTCAGATCCAAGCTGGCTAGAAACCAGCTATACAGCCGTTGCACATTTTCAAACACTAACTTTATAGCTGGTTGGTGTTTTTATAGCTGAACAGTCATTTTTATCATGTGATGATTTGCACATGTGCCCATCCAAATGCAGTATGAGATTCACCAGTTAATTGTGGGATAATTACTTCCCGCTTGGGGCCAGCCTTACTTTGCACATGTGGCCGGTCTAAATTTATCGCAGGATTCAGTAACTAACTGAGGGATAATTACATTAGGGGTCTGGCCAGTGTAAATGTATGAGCAGTTTACTGCTAAACCGTGCCAACATACGTAACCTAGCATAGAGTCAGAGAAGTTTGAATCTTTATTTCCAGAGAAATTTGGATGTTTAATTTGCTGGGATCCTATGACCCCAGCTGACTTCCTGCCCCTGGGGTGGGTGGGCTGTACTCGATGATCTTCCAACGTCCCTTCCAGCCCTAATGTCTGTGAAATCCATGCAGTGGGACAGGGGGGACCTCCAGAGGTCACCTAATCCAGCGGTTCTCAATCTTTTTTGTGACAGAATCCATTTGTAAACCTCAATGGAAAGTGCCCACCCAGCGCCCCTCACTCCAGCCCCTCGCAGGCTGGAGCTCTGCCAGCCTGCACGGGGAAGGCCCCAGTTTCCCACGTTTTCTCCTTTAAAGGAGAACCCATTGTCAGTGCGGGGCAAGGAAGTGCAATGCCTGGGGCCGGAGATGACTGTAGCAGGGCGCGGGCCTGGACGCGGCGGCGGTGGGGGAGGGGTGGCAGCCAGCCCGGCTCCGCGGGACCCCCCAGAGCGCGGGGCCGGGGGCAGTTGCCCTTTTTTGTGCCCCCTACAGACGGGACTGCCTGGGGCAAACCCGTCCAGCCCCCGGCAGAGGGTAAGCATCACCCTGCGGCCCAGCAGGCGGACCCCGCCGCCTCACCTGCCACGGGCGCAGGC